ACATTTTTGTTGTGGTCAAAAGTAGGACCACAACTAGCAATAGGTGAGTACAGCTGTACATGTAATGGTACTTTTGAACATGTTTAAACAAGAAGTTCAAGTACATAAATTAAAGGGACCTGGTCTCGACATGTTCTTGTCAATCAACCAAGAGAACATAAACAGTGACACAATTAACCCCTGCTCAGTCAACTGTCTATTATATCATAATTGTGTGTTTAATTATTTCACTATATTATGTCATTTTTCTATATTAGGTCTAGAGAGCACTTCAAAATAGCCCATATTACACTGTAGAGTCTATTTTGTTTTCGTCATTCATACGCACATTATGCAATCAATACTATGTTCAGATGATGTGGAATGAATTTCAAAAACTAGGAGCTGAGATACTAGAAAATAAGTAAAGATAATAATGGTCAGGAATGATAAATCTCTTATTCAATGGTTCAATATGTAGAATGCACATCTACGGACATTTTGCACATCGCTTGTATTTTTCCTACCCCTTTAATTTTGGGCTCAGAAAAATACTATGCAACTCACAAAATGTCTGCGTGTATTGCATTTTACATTATTGAATAAGGTGTATATATTTTAAGTTTAAACTTGCCTTTTGCTTTATGGTGATTGTATAATTATGTAACTTGTCTTCTCTGAACATGTCTTCTCTTCAGGCACATTCAAAGGAAATTTGTTGATGTACAATCATCAGACATCAAGGTAATCCAATCTTTAAACAGTAGTGCTCATAATTTATTTGATTTAGAAGATTACATGTACTAGATATGCATACGTGTACATTATACATGTATGCATATGTACACTGTATAAAGTACATTCTAGTTTACATGAATTTTTTTATTTCTATTTTTTCAACTTTATCATTATTTTAAACCTTAAAAGTAAATAAGAAGAAACTTTCACAATTAGGATCTTAGGAATTTGAGGTATCAAAAATTCTCTTTGATTTTACTGTAGATTTTTGTTGTGGTAGCTGACGGCTTCTTGATTAAAATTCATAGTGTTTCATTGTGGTAGAAGGAGAAATTTTGAACACTGCTGTTCTTTTGTGTTCAAACACCATGAACTACAATAATTTGTTTTGGTATTGTTTCATTCATATCTACACTTTTGGGACAATAATATTATTACCTCCTCAAGACAGCTATTAGGTGGTATTGAAAATTTGTAGTCTGTAGTAAGGTTACATACTCAATACATACATTTCCTTTACAATAATTACATTTACATGTATGTGGAATTGAATGACTTGTCATTGATGACAATGTAACTCTAAATGGGTGGAAATCTTTACCTTTAAGCAGTACAGTATGTATATTTACTTACGTCTTTTGTGTGTATGCAATTTACATGTAGTAGTTGTTTTTGAAGTTTTTTTTTTCTGGTGCTTCTCTTGCAGGAAAGTTCCTATTCTTGGAAAACACACCAAGAAAATAGTGTGTGGAGCATGGAACTCTGAGGTACATTAATGAGGGTTTAAAATACAGCTCATGTGAATTGTACAAGACTGTCATCAGTGTACATTTTGTAATACATAAAGTGTGATCATGATGTATCTTCTATAAACTATAAACATCACAAATTATGAAAGGAGCAGAAAAGGTTAAAACAATGTCATCCCCCCCTCCCCCCTTCCCCTTCTCCCTTACTAGTGCCTGAATCTCCGGATTGAAAACTAAAAACATGACTTATTTGGAACTGGCAACTTTGTATTCAGGGGGGAGGGAGGGTCACAATGTTAATTGTGTATTTTTCTTTTCATTGTGGGCATTCCCATTTTCCATTTTTGGACAGTGTTGACTATATTTTGCAATTGATAAACAATTAAAGAAGCTACAATGTAACATGTACATGGCATGATACACCTGTATGTGTATTCTTGTAATATTAATAATAATTGTACCTTCCAATATAATGTCAAAGTAATACACAGAAAAGGTAGAAAACAGCAAAGAGGTAACTAATCCAAACAGAAGCAAGGAGTCTGAGATGAATGATTAATTTTGTTGTTTTCACTAGCAGGTGAATAATTTAAACATTTACTGTAAAACCCTAGTTAATTCACTACATGAATGATGATAGAGCAGTGCTTGGAGAGCTGGGTGGCTTGGTGGCCTACGGAACATGGGGTCTGAGTTGATAAACTCCATATGAAGACATCTGGGTTTGTGTCTGGCCAGGGATCTTGTGTTCAAGACTGGGCAACAAACCCTAGCTCATAGTGTCTAACAATCATGTACATAAATGGGTGTTGCCAATTGGTAGGGTTGGGATTAAACAATTGTGTTTCATTCTTGGGGAACACAACTCTCTCAGTGCACTATACTATTATAAGTAAAGGGTGCTAAGGAATTGCTAGGCCAGCCTGACAGAGATGCTGGGGGCTGCAATTTTCCTGTGATGGACTTAAGGCTTCCATCCAGAGAGATCTAGAGTACGTAGGAAATGCGTATACTCCTGGTCACTTCATGTTTTACAGAGCAAGTGACTGGCCTGGAACTGATGATCCTCTCCTGCTCACCCACTGAACTGAAAAAGACAATTGCTGACTACATGAAAACGTGTACAGTACAAATTATGTACACACGTGTGTAATTGTATGTTTTCTCAGTAGCATATTTATGTTGGACATTTAATTTCTTTCCCATGCCAGAATTTATTAGCCCTTGGTGGAGAGGACAAGTGCATCACTGTGAGTAATGTAGATGGAGATACAATCAGACAGGTAAGCACAGGTGATACAAAATAACAATAACAAATTTTCAAATATACAATGTATTGTCAGTCATGGTTGTGTTAAGGTCCTATTTATTATAAATTTTTTCTACTTTTTTGTTTGCACGGAATACATGTAGGCTACTATCCGTGCAGATCCCACTGAAATCCAGTTCAGTGAAATGAAGACTGATGAACGTAGCTCGATTGGTGAGACGACAGTAAGTGTTCTTTCAAGTTACTGTAACATAATTAGGACCACTACTATTTTTTCTCTTTATTTAGTAAATTATTTATTTATTGTTTAACTGCATTATGACAGTGTAGACTGCCCTTGCAAGGTGGAAAGAAAGCTAGTGATGTACTTTAGTACATGTGTTCTTAAATTTTGCATCAAGTTTTTAAGGTCTGCATTAATTTTCAATCACATGCTGGTACTTATACCTCATTCAACCTCTACATAGATGAGCTTAATAGTTGGAAAGAAAACCTTGTACCTCTACAACTTGAATGATCCTGACAACCCAA